GTGGAGGGGGTGTGCGAGTCAGTGGAGGTGATGGTTGGCGTCGGTCGACCGCGTGGGAGTGGTGGTGTTGCTGATCCGGGCGAAAGCTTGACCGGTGCTAGCTGGCCGGCGGCGGCGGCGCTCGTGGGCGTCGCTTTCTTCCTTGGAGGCGCCGTCGTGGTGATTTGTGCATCCTCATCTCTCGGGTCAAGATCTCCGGGCGAAAGTCAGGATCCTGGTTGGATCAGGCGGCGGCGTCGTCTCAACGTCGTTTTCCCTCTTGGGGGCGCCGTCTTGGAGATCTTGGTCCCTTTTGTGCTTCCTGCAGGCTGGACGTGCACGACATCGCGGTCGGCAGGTGCCCGGCCGGCGGTGAGGTTGGTGTGGCGTTGCAACGCATGTGGCAACGATGATGATGGCGAGCAGAGCCTGAGTCGCGGCTTGTCCTTTTGATGTCGAAGGTCCGGTGTGCCAATGGGTGTGCCCATGCTGGTTTCTGGCTGTGACAGAGAAGTCGGAGTTGCGGGAGGCGAGGCCGCTGCGGCAACGATGACTCCATGAGGGCGGTTTTCAGCGTGCGGTGCTCTCAGGGTGTTGCATTGGTCTAGGTCGGTGCGAGGCTTGCAACTTTCTCCTGTGATGCTCGTCAGCAAATCGGAGCTGCCATGTCCTCGACGTTGGGGTCGACTGTTTGGCGTTGTTGTGGCCAGGTCGTCCGTGTGTGCCCCTTATGGGGTTTGTATCTAGGTTTTCGCCCGGTTTTCCTCTAATTAACCGGGCAACTCTCTTCTCCTTAATCAATGAAAATGGCAAATCTTTTGCCTTGTTTCAAAAAAAAAAAATCCTGATAGATGGGATGTAAGTCACAATCTCTATTATGTACACGCGTGCATGATATATAAGTCTAAGCACAGTATATGTGTGTTCTTCTGGTGAGTGACCAGTAATCAACTGAGCAGGAACCGGCAAAGCCAGGCACATACCGGCCGTTCGGCGGAGGTTATAGGGCCTGCGCAGGCAACATGATGGCAAGGCTGCAGATCACAATCATGCTATACCATCTATCTCTTGGCTACGAGTAAGTGCATGTACTATGACAGTACTCGCTTACCTCACACACTTACTCATTAACTAATTTGCATTCGTGGCGTTGTCTTATAATTGTTTTCACTTGTTTCAGATGGAAGTTACTTAATCCTAACGCAAGGACTGTGTACTTCCCAACCCCCAGGCCAGAAGATAACGCACCAATGGCTTTTAGTAGACTCTGTACAAGTATGTGACCGGTGATGTTATATGTGGGTCATCGTGTCTGTTGCTCATTCCATATGCTTGAAAAAACAAGGGTTGTTTTTAACACAACAACAAAAGGACGTAAAAAGAAGTGGGCGTCCCTGACGATGCACCGTGTATGTTTTGTTGAAAAATTACTTGCCAATAATGTACATGGACTAGATCATTTTTTCTGGGTGATGGGTTAAATGTCTATACTGTTGCAATTATATACTCCATATAGGAATGCAAATTTCCCCACTCCTGTGTCGCTCTCCCATACAACTCCCATACAATGCAGTTCCTTAGGCATGCTTAGAGCAACTCTAGCAGATTCGATGGGGCACAATAAGAGCTGATACAACGATTTTTATCAAAAGCATGCTCTAGCGGAGCCACGGAATTGCCAGAATTTCTGGAGGCCGGTCAAAATCTGTGCCACGGGCCTCCATATTTGGATGCTATAGGGCCTTGCTTTGGAGTGTGTTCATCAACAACCACTTGAGCGGGAGGAAACTTTCACCTCCCTCCTCAGCATCCCGCACGACACATCACCTCTCTATGCCAATGGCGCAGATGGTTGTAAGCCCATGTGCAGCGGGCATATCAAATGTGGCCACTACGTCTCCATCTGCTCGTGCCCCTCCCCTTCACATTTACCTGTAGCTCTTTCCCTTTCCCGCCAGGTTTCCTCACCTCCCGCCGGCCGCTGCTATGAAATGGTCACGCCTCTCTACTTCCACCACACCACACAGAGCTCCTCTTTGTCTCTACCATACCTCACACGAGAAATGGAAGGCAAAGTGGTAGGACTGAGATAGAGCGAATAACACGGAAACTGAATCGATTGCGCCGATAGAACCGGAAGCGAAAGCGAGGGGCAGAGTTGGAATGAAACAGGGAAAAAAGGAGCGTGGAGACTATAATATGGGCAAAATGGTAAAACAGGTTAAGGGCAAAGTAAAGAGGACCGGAGGGTGTATACTACTGCAAGTCATAACACTCACGTCCTTCTCCCTCATGTACTCACTACTAGAAGCTAGAAAGATTAGTGGCTGGCAGAAACACATGATAATTAAAATGATAATGTTCTTATCCATGAGATTTAATATGGCAACTACAACTTTTTTTGACCAGCAACTATACTCATTTTTGCTTAAATATTGCAACTACGGCCGTTTAAATCCTGACAAGTACACCTATTTGACCTGATAAGCATATGTAAATATCTGGCAACCACATCCTCTTAAATCTGGCAACTGTATTTGCTTAAACATGACAATCGTGTGTAATACATCATGCAATGTGGCAACCCAGAATATGTATAAAAAATTGGCAACAAAGTACTTCACAATCTTAATTTGACTAAACATGTTTAGCATGGCAGCGATGTACTAGTAATGTACTCCCTCTGTCCGGAAATACTTGTCATCAAAATGAATAAAAGAAGATGTATCTAGATGTTGATGACAAGTATTTCGGAGTACTCCCTCTGTCCGGAAATACTTGTCATCAAAATGAATAAAAGAAGATGTATCTAGATGTTGATGACAAGTATTTCGGACGGAGGGAGTATGGCACAACCAATCACTTTGTAATTTGATAATTAAGTACTTGTAATTTGGAAACTAAACATTTTTAACTTGAGAAGTAGTAGTATTTAACACCTGCACGCTTATAACCCAGTACCTAAACATTTTTTGGCCTTTTGCGACGCCTCACATGCATGATTGCAAGTGCTGTCAGCCAGCACGTCCTTTTCCTTGGATAAAAAGGCTGATGCATGCACCTGGATAGTTGAGTAGCAGCCGCCCCTACATGTGCATGATGGGGCCTGAAGAGTTGAGTAGCAGCCGCCACTGCATGTGCATGACGGGTCCTGCTGGAGAGTTGAGCGGCAGACGTCTAAACTGTACTTATTTGAGATGCATACTCCATATGACTCCACTAACATACAATTTTGCACAAATCTAGAGAGAAATTACGTGTGTCGATCGTAGACATAGTCTCCTCGGTGGCAGTCCTACCTTGACAAACGCTCTAGGCCACTAGCCAGTACTAGCAATCTATATGAAACTAGCAATTTGCATATAACCTACTTCCTTCATCACGAATGACTTGTCGCAGAAATTGATATATTTAGACGTATTTCAGTTCTAGATACATCAATTTATATTCATTCCCGTGACAAGTAGTTCGAGACGGAGGGAGTATTAGCCATGTACCAATTGCGTCCCGGGCGAGTGAGACTTAGTGATGTGTGTTTCTAATGGACACAAGTGATTTGCACATAACCTAGCAGTATGGACATATCACCAGCCCGAGTGTTCAGGGACATTTGAGTCGTATGTTCAGCATTTTAAAATAAAATCTGGAAGTGACTCCATCCAGTTTCTTCCTAGGAACCTCTTGAACGAAACTATGGGCGTACTACTGGTTTTGAGCCAACATTCACATTGGAAAGCTGACATATAGTAAACTTATCTGCAAGTAGGGGTGTACCTTTGTGGCATCGATCCACTGGATTGGGCAAAAGTTTCATTATTCCTAAGCTGAGGCTGAACTGAGGGAGGGCTATATATGTCTGCTACTACTATATGTGCACACACATAATTTGACATGTAGTAACAAAAGCTGGCTATCATGGCGGCAAGTGCTCTCCCCATCCTCTGCACTGCGATTGCTCCCAAATCCTTTGTCTCATCTTTGCCTTGCCCCACTCCGATAAACCTCCTCAGATCAAAAATAGTGTGCAGCTCCGTCCGTTCCGTGAAGGCAACACCCACGGAAGTGGAGGAGGAAGCAGCTGCAGGAGGCGGCGGCGGCACAAAGCTGTCTGCCTGGACAAGCGTCCCGCAACAACGGTGGGAAGGCGACATGGTTGTCGACGGATAGCTCCCACTCTGGCTGGTAAGTACGCTAACCTGTTGCCTGAGGAGCATGTCGCCGCCCTCGACATTAAGAAAGCTTTGCCTTGTCCATTATAATCCTGCCTTCCAAACTAAGTGTTGCTTATTTAGTATAAAAGTTCTACGCTTTGTATTAAATCAACGACACTTATTTTATAAAGGATGCACTATTAATTATTAGTTGCTCATTGTATCCATTTGTGTCGTCTAGAACGGCACGTACCTGAGGAATGGGGCAGGACTGTGGGAGGCCGGCGACCTCGCCTTCGACCACCTGTTCGATGGCTACGCGACACTCATCCGTGTCTCCTTCCAGCAAGGCCGTGCCACTGGCGCGCACCGGCAAATTGAGTCTGACGCATACATGGCGGCGAACAAGGACGACCCAATAGTGATGCAGGAGTTCTCCCAGTGCCCCAAGCCCGCTAATCTGCTGGACCGGGTGCGCAATGTCGTGGGGCTCCTCAGCGGTGCGTCTGTCACGGACAACCCCAACGTCAACGTGGTACCTCTCGGTGATGGCCGGGTCATGTGCCTCACGGAGACCACCAAGAGCTCCACACTGATAGACCCCGACACGCTCGACACGGTCGGCAAGTTCAAGTACACCGATAAACTAGGCGCCATGATACAGTCAGCACACCCGATCTGTACTGACTCCGAGTTCTTGACGCTGCTCCCTGAGACCCTGACCTTCTCCGGCCGGGCTACCTTGTCGTGAGGATGGAGACTGGGACAAACGAGATGAAGGTCATAGGAAGGGTGGACTGTCGGGGCGGGCCGATGCCGGGGTGGATGCACTCCTTCGCCATCACCGAGAACCATGTCGTGGTGCCCGAGATGCCAATCCGGTACTCCTTGACAAGGCTGCTCAGGTCCGAGCTCGGCCAATTCTACACCTTCGATTGTCTTCCAACGTCGCGGAGCTATATGCACGTCATGTGCAAGTCCACGGGCAAGACAGTAAGTAAATCCACGTATTCCTGGGCGTAGGATGTATTTTTTTATTTTTTTCTCGATTTTGCCAAAAATCAGGTACCTAAAATTTTTCATGGTGTCAGTCACTTTCGTGTTTCGCCCCCAGTGCGAGATGGTTAGGTCTAACCAGGACCTCTGGAAACAACAGCCTCGATATTTATATCTTAGGGCAGTCGGGGAGGGTGTTGTGCATGTTCATCGGGGGAGCAGCAACCTCAGTGTCTATCTTAGAGATGCAGTGGTGCACGGATCCAGAGGGGTCTTAGAAGAATTGCCAGGGCGGTGGCTAGCATGGCGGTGGCCAGAGGTCAAGAGGAAGGGACGTGGTGGTGGAGGTAGGAAGTTAGGGTTGGGTTGGGTGGCGACTGCAATAGGAAGATGAAGTGAGAGGTTGAGGGAGGCAGTTAGGGCTGGGTTGGGTGGCCACTGCGTTAGGATGATGTTAGAAGTTGAGGATGAACAGTGCATGATCTGTTTTGGGCCGTACAGTGAATATATAACGGTCTAGAAAAGTGACTGATGCAAACAAAATTTCAGGGGGGCTGATGTATAGGCAGTCCCATTTTTTCTAGTAATTTTCATAGCCCGCCTGTTGCATTTGTTCTTGTGCACGCAGGTGGCGAGTGTTATGGTGCCACCTTTCATGGCAATCCACTTTATCAATGCATACGAGGAGGTAGACAAGCACGGCGAAGCTACTGAGATCATCGCCGATTGCTGCGAGCAATACGGTGATCCTGCAATCATCAAGACACTTGTCCTCAGGCAACTGAGGTCGTTTAGGGGCATGGATTTGTTGCCTAATTCCAGAGTTGGCCGGTTCAGGATACCGCTTGACGGCAGCACGTTTGGCGAGCTCCAGTCGGCGCTGGACCCAGAGGAGCATGGCCGAGGGATAGAGATGTGCAACATCAACAGGGCGCGCATCGGGAAGAAGTACCGCTATGCTTACGGTTGCGGCGCACGCCGGCCATGCAACTTCTTCAACACGCTCACAAAGATGGACCTGGTGTTGCAGAAGGCCATGAGCTGGTATGAGGAGGGTGCCGTGCCATCCGAGCCCTTCTTCGTGGCGAGGCCTGGAGCATCCGACGAAGACGACGGTGCGGTCATGTCAATCGTGAGTGCCGAGGATGGTGGAGGTTATATGGTTGTGCTGGATGCAACCACGTTCAAGGAGATTGCGCGCGTCAAATTCCCATATGGGCTGCCCTATGGTTTCCACGGTTGCTGGATCCCAGCCAAGAACTCATAATCAAGACCATCTGAAAATAAGGAGTAAATAGCATAAAATTACTACTTTACAGGCTAGGGTTTCAAAAAACTACCACTTCCTAATTTTTCTCATAAAGCTACCAGTCGAGCGGTCCGCTGTTTCAAAAAACCCCTAATATCCATTGCTTAAAAATTAAACATGTTTATGACATGTCGGGCCCGCACCTAAACATTCCGTTTATTTGACCGTGTGTTGACCGCTAGCTGACATGTGGGGCCCACATGTCAGTTTCGTCTTCCTCTTCTCTTTCCCTCTTCTCTTTCTTCTTCATCCCTCCCCTCTCCCAGCATCCCCATGGTCGAGGTGCTTGCCGGAGATCTTGGTGGCTGCCGGCGCAGGCGAGGCAGGGCGTGGCCGCCAGCGCACACAGGCAAGGGGGGGGGGGCGTTGCGGCGGCCACAACCCACGGGCGAGGGGCGGCGTGGCTGCGGCCACAGGCGAGGGGCGGCGTGGTGGCCGGCACAGGCGAGGGGCGGCGTGGCGGCGGCCAGAGGTGAGGCAGGGCGTGGTGGTCGGCGCCGGCGGCCAGAGGTGAGGCAGGGCGTGGTGGTGGCCAGAGGCGAGGGGCGGGGCGGTGGCCAGAGGCGAGGGGCGGCGTGGATCCGGCCGCCGCTGGCGCGGCTCGGCAGGCCGCAGGAGGTGCACGGCGTCGGCCCGGAGGAGCAGGCATCGCGGTTCTAGGCAGAGGCTCGAGATCGAGCTCCAGCCATGGCGTGTGCGCCTCCTCTGGATATGGGACCTGATTGCTTTTTTTGAAAACTTCCAGGGACCTGATTGCTTTTTTCAGACACTGACACGTGGGCCCCACATGTCAGCTAACGGTCAAACACACAGTCAAATAAACGGAATGTTTAGGTGCGGGTCCGACATGTCATAATCAGGTTTAATCTTTAAGCAATGGATATTAGGGGTTTTTTAAAACAGCGGACCGCTCGACTGGTAGCTTTCTGAGAAAAATTAAAAAGTGGTAGTTTTTTGGAACCCTAATCTGTAAAGTAGTAGTTTTATGGTATTTACTCGAAAATAAGCAAGAGTAGGGGCAAAGCAACAGAGAAAAAAATGCAAAATCACCCTGCCGATGGGATTGCGTTCTACTAATTAATATAGCAGAATCTATGTATGAAATATACTTTGCATGCTTTTGTATGAAAGTGGGAGTTCGTATATGGGGACGTGGTTGCGAGGCGGACAAATGGGGTCGGCCCGTGGGCACGTCCGAACATTCTGTAGTCATATAGAGTCAAATAAGCCAAGTGTGGTTGGACATGCTCTAAGAAGAACAAAATGTTCTACCGAACTAAAACTAGAATCTTATCTTATCTATCTATCTATACCTATACTAATTACAGACTCTCAAGAAATTCCACCGTTAATTAGATTTTACGAGCCGTTAATGTGCCTGGATCAAATTATTACGGTGTAGATTCACTCATGAAATCCTCCGTAAAAAAATAATTTTAATTAATCCTACAGTTTAATCCATCTAACCTTCTAAACCATTAGATTGGGAAGATTAGACGTGGAGTCATCCCACGGTTGCACGACCCTAATCTCCCAGTCTAACATGTCTCCTATCCTCGATCGTATTCCACATGTGCCACCGCCACGAAACAGCCATGGCTTTTCTTTCGCCCTCACAACCCTGGCTCTTCCCGTAACCTAAATCATCAAGCATCAGCCATCTCATATTTTGAGCAAAAACAATCAGCTCTCTAGGATGTACCAACTCGATTCCTTTTGCCACACGAACGACGTGATTTAAAGGAAGTGTTCCAGGAAGTAGAGACCCATGGACTCGATCGGCCGTGCTACTGCCACAGTCCGACCTTTATGAGGCGAGACAAGGTTCTTTTGGACGATCACACACATGCAAAATCTAATTGAACTTGGCTACTTTTAGAGTTGTCCGGGTACAGTAAGATGTGCAGGTGTACATCAGCTAGCTGATTGATTTCTCATCAGGTACAGGTGTACGACTATGCAAGCACGTACACACAGAGCTTTATGGGCATTTGGCCATAAATCAATTCAGTCGTGCGGTATTTTGTGTGTGTTATTGGCAGGTCCATTGATCAGCTTGCGGAAGCTATCTTCATATGTGGAGATTGGTTGTGCGAGCTAGGCTTTGTACGTTCTTTCCGACCATCACGTACATACACTAGTAGAAAAAGCCCAATTTGTCCCGATTCATGAGGCCCATTAGTTGGAAAGATATTTCCTTGATTGCATTTACAGATCACAGTACATGGTTTATATCAGAGAGAACTGCACGTCCTATACAAGTGGCACTCGGGCCCGACGTGGTTTCCTGATCCTATAATTACGACAACGTTACATTTACATGATTACATAAGACTTTGTCTAACACCCCCCCCCCCTCAGCCGGAACTCCATGTGGAAGGATGTTCACGCTGGACCAAAAATCTGTAAACACTTGAGACGGCAACCCCTTAGTGAAAACATCAAAAAATTGAGAGCTTGAAGGGACGTGAAGAACACGAACTTCGCCAAGCGCCACGCGATCACGGACGAAGTGTAAGTCGATCTCAATATGCTTTGTGCGTTGGTGTTACACCGGATTGCATGCAAGGTAAGAGGCACTGATGTTGTCACAATAAACAGTGGTGGCCCGGGTGGGAGGGAGATGAAGCTCATGGAGGAGTTGACGCAACCAGCATGATTCGGCCACACAGTTCGCCACCCCCCGGTACTCCGCTTCGGTGCTTGAACGAGAGATAGTGGGCTGCCTCTTTGAGGACCAAGAGACAAGATTGGAGCCGAGGAACACACAAAAGCCAGAAGTAGACCGACGTGTATCCGGACAACCGGCCCAATCCGCATCAGTGTAAGCAATAAGGTCCATGGAGGAGGACTTATATAGTTGGAGACCATAGTGAGAGGTGCCCTGTAAGTACCGAAGGATCCGTTTGACAAGTTGCATGTGCGTGTCTCGTGGAGCATGCATGAATAAGCAAACTTGTTGAACGGCATAGGCGATGTCAGGTCGGGTGAGGGTAAGGTATTGAAGGGCGCCGGCCAAGCTGCGATATTGCGTGCATTGGAGAGGAGTTGGCCGTCCTGGGAGGAGGACTTGGAGCTGGTGTCGATAGGTGTGGAGACTGGCTTACAATTTAGCATCTTGGCGCGCGCTAGGATCTCAAGTGTGTATTGCTGTTGGCATAGGAAAAGGCCGGAGGTGTTGGTAGTAACATTGATGCCCAAGAAATGATGGAGAGGGCCAAGATCCGTCATGGAGAACTCAGACTTGAGGGAGTTGATGACGGAGGTGAGAACGGTGGGGGAGTTAGCCGTGAGAATGATGTCATCCACATAGACTAACAAATATGCAATGGAGGAGCCATGATGCTTGATGAACAAGGAGGAGTCACTCTTGGAAGCCCAAAATCCCAATGATAAGAGGAATGCTTGGAACCGAAGAAACCATGTGCGGGGAGCTTGCTTTAGGCCATATAAGGACTTGTGAAGAAGGCAGACATGGTCGGGCCGGGAGGGATCCACAAAGCCCGCTGGTTGGGAGCAATACACTGTCTCATTGAGATCGCCATGAAGGAATGCATTCTTGACATCAAGTTGGTGGATTGGCCATGACTGAGATGTAGCAAGACTGAGCACCACGCGAATGGTAGCCGGCTTCACCACGGGACTGAATGTTTCACCGTAGTCCACACCTTCTTGTTGAGTGAACCCACGAACAACCCACCGAGCTTTGTAACGTGCCAAGGAGCCGTCATTGTTGAACTTGTGATGAAATATCCACTTGCCTGTGACAATGTTAACAGCTGCAGGCTTAGGCACCAAAGACCAAGTAAAGTTATCCATTAAAGCGTGATATTCTTCTAACATAGCGTGGTGCTAATGGGGGTCTTTGAGAGCTGATTTGTAGGTCGGTGGTATGGGAGAAATAGTGTGGGACATGGCATCGGCAAGAAATAATCGCTTTGGCATGAGAAAACCAGTTTTGGCCCGGCTGGACATCCTGTGTGCGTTGTGGGGTGGCTGAACGGGCACTGCATGGCGAGGGAGAGGTGGCGCAGGCGGAGTGGACGGAACGGAAAGCGAGGAGGATCTGGTAGGGCCGGCTGATTCATTGGCAGGGGGATCGGGTGAAGGATCCGAGGAGGAGTCAGAGGAGGCTGGCGAGGCAGGCGAATCTGGCACGACAGGGGAATCGGGTGTGGGCTGCAAGGCAGGCGAGCCAGTGGGG